TATTGCGCCCGCAAACTGTTGCGCTGAGTCGCTAATATCAGCTGAACTTTAAGGGTGGACAGATGATGTTCTGGGTTAGTTCGGATGTTGACTTGGTGTGGAAAAAAATAAATCTTAATTTGACACGGCGAAACAATTGGTTAGATAAATGCACAAGCGGGATTTAAACATTTCGACATGCGATGTTTCCAGCTAAAAATCTTTAAAATATATCAGTGATTGTAAATTATTCAAAAGGCCTAATTTTTCTTAGATGTACTAACAAAGCAAACAGTATCACACTGACATTAAGAGCAAAGGAACAAAGACGAATTATTAATGAGAGTATTTAACAGTTCGAGTGTCGATGGGGTTTGACAGTGGATAACAGTGATTAGTGTACGCTTTTAGCGGATGGGCAACTAAGATCAGTAGGATATAAAAAATTGATAAGATGATCTTGATACAGGCGGGGACCTGGACAGGCTCTGCTACGAAGGACAACTCCACCCATGGTAAAACCAATAACTGTTCCTTGACGGTGTAAATAGACTGAAGCAGAATCACCTTCGACGATTGGCTGGACAAGATGAAATAGCAAGAGACGGAAGCATGCTCCCGTCGCAAAAAATAAGGGGGGATATTGGCAACCCAGGAATTATGATCTGTTGACACAATTCACAAATTCCCTCTCACGAATTAGAGTTAGCTGTCAAAGTTCACTTCCTCGGTGTAGGCGAACTTCTTCCAATTGCTCCACAAAGGAGTCACCAGCAGATCATGGGCCCTGATAATCATGCAAAAGTCCAACATACTAGTCCAATCCCGTCAAACTTCTCCGGTAGTCCCGCCGTTATACATCAACTTTCTTATATCTCTAAAAATTCCATACATTTAGCTTCTAGACATTTCTTATGCTTTCAAAACTTGAGCTAACAGGTCGCCAAAAATTTCCGGAGTACACAATATAGTTCGAGTCATATTTACATATAATAAAGATCCCGCGTGCTGCGGGTGAGCAGCGCCCTTTTCAAATTCTCGTCAATTTTTCCATGCGACTATTTTGTTTAAATGTTGAGAAACTTAAAGCCTGTTAACAGTGTTAATTAACTCTTGGTTCGGTCTCTTTCAAAGAAAAGCACAATATTTCTCTCCTTTGGATATAAAAGTTGAGGTATTTGTGTATTTGTGAATATACCTTGCGCTTGATACCGCGTTTTACTGTATAAACTGTAAATATGCAGTTTTCTTACAAATGCACAGATTGCAGGCACGATGTTCCAGGGTCGCGGGTTCAACTGTCGCTCCGGTCAATTTCTATTTCATCGTTTTACTATATCTTGAATTTTTATTCAAAGCAAAACTGTAAAGCTTATTAACGCTCATTATTGATCGAGCGCGATGATCAATTATTATTTGCAGAGTCAAAAACAATAAACAGTAAAATTCAAATCCATAGTTCCATTCTCCTTTACGAGAGAACTTTTGTTTAGTAATACCGTATTGTAAAATGTACTGTTTGTCTGTTCCTTGGTGAATTTATACATGCTCGATTTTTATATTTTTCTCTACTCGACAAGATACATGTGGACTTTTCCAACCCAGGGTATATGACGAAGATTAGGGTTATGATTAGCAGAATGTGACATCTTCTATGAACGCAGTGGGGCTTGTTATAACGTGCACCTCATCAATTCAAGGTCCGTTTAATTTTAATTTCCATCTGAATGTATAATGGACTTAGAGGCACATCTGTGTCATAAAAACCCGTCACGAATAGCAATATTTGGGTCCTGAAGGTCGATTACTACCGGGATATTTTTTTCTAATTAGACATTATTGGCACATCATCTTTTGCATCCAAAGCAAAAGGATTGTAGCAAATGTGAAAGTCACCAGTCTCTGAGGTGAGTACCTGTTCTTCTGTTTCACAGGCAATACACGAGGGAGGACCTTCCGTACATTCGTTTACAAATTAAAAAACAAACAAACAAAGCTCACTCAAAAGTGGATATCAGTAGAGTATGGAAAAGTTCTGATATTGTGTATGTGGGAGCCTCTGTCTACAGTCGACAGCTCCCCAAATCTCCCATAAAAATCTCCCATCGTGCGTTGTGGAGGGGCGTTTGCCGTATACCGTTGGCTAGGAGAGGCAGCTTAATTGTCAACTAACACTCACCGTGAAACGCCAGTGCAAAATTTAGATCAAAGTTCCCGTTTTATAAACCGTTCTGGTCAATGGCATTGATTGCAATCTTTGCATTTGTTATCTCAGTGCCATGAACGGCGCAGAAGGCAACTGCTACCGTGAATCAGTTTAAAAAGTTCGGTTCTTGACACCCTTTTCAGTCACCCATGTTGTGTCGTGCAAGTCTAAAATGCATGCGCATTAAGCTCTTGCTCAATATCAACCCGTGTATTTGTCATGGAGAATGTGTGATAGAAACAAAACACTGCACTACAGAGACGCGTTATTACTTATTTCAATATCAGCTGGTTTGCTGAGATCACGACAGTATATTTATAATATAATATTTTGTTTCTTTTATAAGTGTGTCAAGACAAACGTAGATTCACAGAAACAAAATCTTGGCTGTTAGGTTAATCTGCTGCCACAACTTCGACTGATTCTTAGAAGGTGTTGCAATCTTATGAAATTTTGTTGTTGGTTTTTTATTTCAAAAGCTGTAAAGAGGACACATCTCCTCAAGGCACTGAGGCGAAGTGTAATCAAAAACACATCTGTCTTAACGGTTTGGAAGCACTGTGGCAGGTCCAAGCGGGAAGCAGGGCGCGTGCCCCGGACAACGAGCCAAAAACCTAATCATTCTCCATCTGTCTTTTACATTTTACCCCGGAAAACCTGATAAAAAGCACACACATACGCACGCACCTAGTGCCGGCTGTTTTTTTGACTGAAAAACACGAACAGAAGTCATTGAAGACACAAACCGAAAGCAAAACGATACCGCCAAGTGGCGTCGAATGCAGTATGTCACTGCAGCACGTTGTCTGTTACAAACCAGTAAATCGGTGGCATTGTTTCCAGAACAATATCTTCAACGGTATCAACAGTTGATTTACTTTCGGCACAGTGACCAAGCAATATTCAAAAGGAACATGAGAGGCAGTTTTTCCCGATGGAACTTGCATATTTAATTAAGCGAATTTGCACGTCTTGAAACAGATTAATCGTTGAGCAAACACGCCGGAGAACGTTTACCTGCAAGACAACGGATGCGAAGACGGTTTCCCACTTCGGACACGAAGTCAGAACTTGTCAAGTTTACAATGGCCATGTACTTACGTTTTAATGTTGCCATCTCCTTGAAGGCTAAGCAAACGCAGCGAGTAGGCAGGCCACTGCACTACTAAAGACTGTTGTGTTTAAGGTGGCGTTAATGTAATACGCTCGCAAAATAAAGTGGGCAACGCGGGAACACACTTGGAGCTTAACTTCGACCAATGGGAAGAGTTGAGTCGGGATTTGTATATGATACGGTTTCTATGGTAATGCTGGTTTCTTTCACGTAAAGCCCATTTGGGCTTTGTTCATTAATACTTAACTCGTAAATCTGTTAGTACTTCTGGCTAGATTCACATCTGCCGACGGTCGCACACTTTTGCCCATTATCAGCCGGCGTACCTGATAATAAGATGATGTTTAAAGAATATTTATAACTCAAACGAATGTTTGCCGTCAGTCAATACCCGCCAAACGGCCGGTTCACAATCGTTTGATGGGGTGGCCGCGCGCTTGACCTTTGGTGCGGTCGCGTCTTGTCATTTCGTCCTTGTCAAGTCTTATCTTTTAAGAGCTGGTTCTGGGAGATGGCCACTGGTGTATTAAATGCGAATGTGTTGGAAAATCTCCACGTGCAGAGTGCAAATATGAAACGCGAAACCTTTTCCGGGATGAGATTTGTACCGTAGTTAATTGTTCAAATGATTTGAAGCATACAATTTTAAAGGTGTAGTCCGTCAGTTACAGTTAGGCCTATTCAAAAAGTAACTAAGGAAATACTTGGTTCAAAGATAGTTATGGGACTAAACTCTCCGTGAAATGTTTCCGTCTGAAAAGCTGTCATTTCACCTGGAAACAGTGACGGAAGGTCTCTTCCAACAATTGCTATTAGAAGCGCGCGCAAGGTTACTATAATTGTCAACGTAGCTTCAATCAACTCAACGTGGGAACGTGTCCCAGGTGCTGAATTCACAATCACAGGCGCAATTCAAAACAAGACTCGGCAACTTTGGATCTGAAATCAAAATACTAGAATTTTGTTTTTCTTTGTAGTCACTGAACTAAAACTTTGTAGGGATTGTTCTTGGGCGCCTTCTTCAAGTATAAATTTTGTTGCCTCAAAGAAACATAGGTCCTAATTATGCACAAAAGACAAAAGCTGAACTTTATAACGTCAAACAGACAATGCACATGAAGGGACACTCTAGTGCAAAAGTCTAGAACCTGTAAGCTAATCTGGTTACCAACACCAGAATTCACAGTGTTCTTGTGGTGGTACCAAGATGGCGCAAACGGCGGCACGTGCGCCTTGGAATTCCTCTCCAAAATTAAACATAACCTGCCAAGCACACGTGGACCCCGAGCGTAAGAAAGTGCTCACAGTTTGCGTGATTCCACCGCAGTGTATTATTCTGAGTGTATTAGTCAATGTCCAACGTATAAGCTCGAGAGATGAAGTGTTTGTATACGCCTTAACATTAGCGCCCGTCAGTGTTATGTGTACAGTGCTGTATGGCCTTGGTTGATTGAAACGTGTCTGCCACTCCATGTTTGTAGATACTGGTGGATCGCTAGTGACGTATTCAGCGATCGCCTGCCCGTCAAAGGTGGGACATGCTTTAAAAATAAAAAAAGATGATTGGATACATCGCTTGCTGGCCCGGTGCTTATTAACTTTCGCCAACACAGTGCATTGTTATTTCACAACTGCCTCGCAGAATGTCTACACGTGGTCCTCGCTATTCAACTATTTCACCTGTCTCCGTATCACAAATAGGTGTCAAAACGAAAACCAGGATCCCGGGCTGCGGCTTGTGTACACTAGCGTCTGTGAACGAGGGCGCTTGCTCCGCGGAGGGTCACTGACATCACTTTACGCGTTGACCACACTCACTGTCAGGTCTATATGGTCAGACTCAGTTAGCATCCTTCTGCCTCTGAGAACATCTCGGCGGGAACTGCAGCACCACCACCACCACGCTTAGTAACTGTCGACAAAGATCGTGAGTACTGTTTTCCATCCTTCAAAAATTGCTGGCTGTAGGCAGAACATTATTATTTTTCTCTCATTTTTAAAGCGAGGGTGAAACTTTTGGCTCGTTGGTTGTGAATAAAAGATGCTAAGGATTCTGTGCCGTACATCATTGTACATGACCGCATACCATAAGCGGAGTGGAATGAACAGATGCGCACCTATGGCGTAAGGGCTGGATTTCATTCGAATTGTTTTTGTGGCTTTACCCCCTCACAAATAGAAGGGCAAAAAAATGAAATACCGGATATGTTGCGAGGATTAGAAGATTGCTCTAAATTAGAAGAAAACACATACCTTGGAATCAATTTCGAGAAGTTGGCAATTAGTTGTAGCATAAAATGCACAGAGCTAACAAAATGAAAGAGTAACAGGAGTTCTAGTTTTTGAACATGCTTTCTGAAAAATACGCACCGTCGAGAAAAAAAAGGGAATTCAACTGCTTTGAATGTGTTGTACATGATATTCCCTCATACCAAATTTTTGTTCGATTCATTTGTCTTTGGGTATTTGGTGGGGAACGATATGTACCTTTCTTCAAAGGGCCCTTGGAAATTTTAGGAAGTAATGAAATGACACAGCAAGAGTCGGATAGAAAAACGAGTCATGAATCTGCGACAGCCTGCTTTCGAGCGGGTATTTTGTCACAATTTAGAAACGAAAATTCAACCCATTGTTGGTTTGGCTGAAATAAATGAGGAGGCTTTAAGTGTAGCGCGCGGTTAAGTGTAGTGTAGAAGCGGTGAAATTAGTTTCTCGATAGTCAGGTCCTTATTTTAGATTTGAAAAGATGATTTCCCCAAGAATGAATCAGGTCTCACGCCGCAGAACGCGCTCGATCGTTCATTCGAGTCGGGCGGGTTCCATACCGAAAAATGTTTATTAAATACGGGCGGCACTGCACATTGGACTGGATGGCCGACATCCCCGATTTGCCAGCCTGCGTATGAGTGGAAGGACCGAGAGAATGTTCGCTGGCGAACCGGTAAAGGAAAGTATTATTTTAATCAAGCGGTGCTTCCCACTTGAAGGAGCCGTGGCCTCGCCGGGCTGCCAGCGATTAAACGCGATGCTGCCGATATAAATCCCAGCTTGCGGCGATATCTTCTGCTGTATGTAACGGGCCATGAACTCAAGGCAAGCGGTAGGCATCATCGCAGGCAATTTAGGCTTTTGTCTTATATAGTATCTTGTTCATAATGTGCTAGCTTATAAGCATGCTAAGCATATAACTTTGTAAGCTCAAGCGCAATGTGCGTTATTCTTTCTCATAAGATGCAGAAGGGCATTATTGGAATGGAAAACTGACATGATTTCAATTTGAGCAGGGCCTTGCGAGGTCTTCGGGAATCAAACAACTTTATTTCAACTCCCAAACTTCGGTGGGTGAATGAAATATTAACTTTCGTTCAAATTTGATTCCCTGTTCTTATACCAAACGACGATTTTTGTTTTCTATTTGAATCTAAAGACATTGCTAAAAATGGAACGAGAACTACATTTTCACCCAAACTGTGACCTGTGAATGTGATGGACTTGCAATATACCGGGTACAGTATTCTGCACACAGATTTTCTCTAGAACAGGCTCCACAGAGAATGGTCTGTTAGTCCTTTTTTCCCTACCCCATTCATAAATTTTATCTGTCAAGTTCAGCCTTTCTATTCAAGTCTGGAAAATCACGAGAACTTGAAAATGTCCCCTACTTTATAAAGGTTTCATTGAGTCGTATCCGAAACTGCTTATAGGGTACGTCATTCCCCTTTTGACTGGGCAAATAATTAGTATTCATGTTGAGAGGAATAAAATAATTGGGTAAATCGACCCATCCTAAAACCTACTTCCAGAACATTGCCTTTTACAAACAGTCGCCACAGGGACATGCATGAGCCGCCTCATTACATGAAATCAAAGACAAATGAAGTGAGCCGAGACCGGGCGTCCGTGGTTGGGCTTAATCATATCGTTCGATGGAGGATTACCGAAGAATCCACTTGAAGGACACGACATTCTACCGAGCAGGTTACCCGTGCGTCCTAATCAGTGCTTGAATCAGGTACTCTCTTGTCACTGGATGACATCTTTGATTGTGTTGTGCCCGTCTGACTATAGCGGAGGTAGCAAGCCTCGTGTACCGGATTTATTCATCAAAGGCGATGGCTTTCCCTCGAATGTGACGGACTTTTTTTACGTGGCACGGATGAACGCACGTCCCCCGCTGAATCGTATTATAGCACGGATGATGATCTTTTTAGTTCCAAATTTGTCGACCTCCAACTGCCCTGTGGATTAAGGCGATTTTCCCCCTGTCTGTCTTAAGACTGTCACTGCCGTTGCGGGGGGGGAGATAGATAACGATCTTCAAGGTGGGCAGAAAAACGAGAGTAGTTTACGAACTAAGTACTATAGGAGCAGGACAAGGCTGAGGTGTCTGGATTTGATTGACAGGGGCTTGGAAAGTCAGCAAGGTCTCGGAGATGGGCAACCTGCTTGAAAAACAACTTTCCCTTATAAATAGTCTGACTTTACCTGTACAGGTGAGCTTTGCCGAAACATGACTTGTGAAGCCCAGCAGAGGGTCCCCCTTTTCGGCTTACAGGTCCATTTGTCTAGGCCTAAACAATACTTTAAAATTATCTCGATGGATCCACATTGTCAGCCTCACAGGAATGTCATTTCTGTTGTTTGTGGAGCCCGTCTTGCACCCCGATGCAATTACGGTACTTTTTTTTGGGGGGGGGGGGTAAAACTGGCAAAAGAGCTCCGTCAAAACAGTGGACCAACTGTCTGAATTCATATCAATGGTTTCAACGGATTGACGGAGTCCTTGAGATTAACACTTCATTGGGCCACCATAGCCAGTGTATTTTGCAAGTGCCATACAGACAGGCTTTTTAAAGAAGCCTTATGGGGCCTTATAAGACCGAGATAATGCAGTTTAGTAGGGCTTGAAGCTTTTCTTATTAAATTACAGCGTCCCAGCTGCACAGTGCTCTGCCGTCCAGCGTCTGTATCTTCAGGGTCGAGTTTCTTCCTCTCTTTTCAAATGTACACATACACTCATACTGTTTGAAACGCTGGGCCATGTTGGAGTCGCCTTACAACATTCAACCAAAGGCAGAAGAAACCATTTGCCTCTCTCCCTCTTTTGGACATTAATGCCTGATTTAGAGTAAACCGTTAGGCCTGTACTTAGCAGTTTGCTTGCGTCATCATCAACTGCTTTGCTAGGACATTCTTGTGTAATTTCATCTCTTAGAACCATCAACTCCGAAATGCTCTCCCTGCACTTTGGTCTTTGTGGTGGTAACATTAAAAATTGAAATTTGTGGGTGCTTAATTGGGTCGTGCTCTTCGGGGGAAAAAGACAAATCGCTGCTCTAAATCTAAGACGAATGGAGTTAACCAGATTTGGAAGGCATTGGCCGTGCTGGGACCTGAGTCCGATTGCCTGCGGTTAAGATTACTCTGATGTCGAGGAAAAACAAGCCTATCGCCAGAAAGGCGGGAAATACGAACCACAAGTCAGTCGTGATTGTTTCCGCTTGGGCTCTGTTTTTTTTTTATGAAGTCATCTGCGCGTGAGGCACGAACATATTTATCAGATTCTGTGTTCTCTCGAGCCACGGACAGACGGGAAGTAAAGCCTCAACCTTGCCGTGAAGTATTTTTGATCGAATCTCATCGATCCGTATTGTGATTTAAAGCTATTTGAAAGACGGAAATCGGCAACAAAACTAAGAGATTAAAAACTTTGAACTAATCAGATTCTCGGAGAGCAACACCATTTGGTTGCATTTGGTTTACATGTACTCAGCCTCGACAGCACATACAACTTTATTGCATTGTTACTTATTACGCAGTTATTAGTCATTGTTTACGGTGTTTGACAACCGTTGATTCGACTGCTATCCTTAAAAGTTAAAACATTATTATAATGAATCTGTAAGTTGACAGCATCGATGAAAATATTTTGTATTGGCACAATTTAGTGGAAACACCGAAGATATCAGAGAAGCGCGGATTGCAAAATGATACGGGGGAGGGGGGGGCTGTATATGAAGAAAGTGTTTAACAATACCGCACCACCTTGATCAATTTTATTTGAAACAAGCTGGCTGTGTTGCGGAGGACATCGCCCACAATTTTGAAGGGCGCACGCCTGGCAGCCAGCTAAGACTCTTAAAGTGAGTGGAATGTGATAGTACCACACCATCTTCTTGCTTGTGGAGGGCCTATGCTGCCTCATGCACCATGCATCATGTGAGACAACGAACCCGCGAATTGAACGCGTAAAGGCGACAGTAGTATCCAACAGTAGGCCCCTACGTTTCCTTGTTAGTTAGCGAGCACGTGCACATGCTCGTGATTATTAAAGGTGTGTTCGCAGTTGATGGTGTTACCTTACTACTTTCAACGTCGCTGTCTAATCTAAAACGACGGGTAATTAACAGCATTGCGTCTGTCTTGTGGCATGTTGTCTGCTATCGCCTTAACGGTGCCAAGGGCAATGGCCGACCGAGGTCTCCGTGGTGGAGTGAGGAACGGTTTGAAACATCTTCAAGTGTATAAATCTGTCGTTCTTGGGGTGAAGTTACCTTCGTGTGGGATTAGCAGTAAGTTTTACTCCACTCGTGTCATGAATCTTGTCTGGTATGCATTAAACATGGTTACTGATGAGCTTAAAAACGCTTTTAGCTGCTAGTAGGTACTTGTGTTATTCCGATATTTTTTAGATATTTGTGTACGAGATGACATAGTGAACAGAACTCGTGTCCTGTGTCACACGGCAGGCATCACTTCAGAACATATCACTATACCAAAAAAGGATCCATGCAAATAAGTTTTTTTTTTCTGAGACTCGCATACTGTGCATCTGTATTCAACTGTTCTTGGAGTCAAGCGTAGTGAAAAGTGCACTTTTGTGTCTCATTTTCCGGGCAAGTGAGGTCGCTGTTGCCTTGATGTAAA